TAAACTCACCGTTCTATTACCCTAGAGGAAATAACAAAACCTCTGATTTTTTTGCAGGATCGATATTTCAGAACGTGAGACGTAAAATCCCAAGACGTAATCTGTGGTTATGTCTTGTCTACTGCGCACATTGTGCTGCATGGCGAATTAAAATATTTTTTAAACGCATGAATCGCAATGTACATTATGATCGTTATGTATACACAGATACGATAGACGAACACCCAACTTAGGCGGAATGTTAATTGCGAACTATTAACTGTAAAAAACAACTACCTATATGTATATTTATTTATGTACATAGCTACCTAACGGAATGGAACTTGAATAGCTCTAACGAATTACCAACGGTCTTGAACAAATCTTTGTAAACGGATTCGTATTTTTCGGTATACAGTGAAATAAGCGCCTTTTTTGTTCGTTTGTGTGAAAATGCCAAAGATAAATTTTTCAAACGAATTAAACGGATGTCTGTGAAAGATCGAAGATAAATAAAAGAAACTGACACTTTGAAAACGAAATTGTATCTTTATTTTGTGAGTATGGTAATATGTTGACAAATATTTTGCTCTGTTTTGTTCCTTCTTCTTCTTTTTTCAAATGTACATGTTTATCGATATACATCGATGTTATAATATAATCGTACAATGCAGATTATACAATGTTACTGAAAGTATGTGCAATAGTTTCCCTGCTGTACACCAATACCGCGGTCCTGCTGGTTCGCTACTATTATTTATGTATGTAGTTCTTCCCTTAGATAATTCTGATCTATTTAAGAATGATACGTCGAGGAATATGAAAGAATTTTCTAGATTACAATTTTAGCGAAATTTAGTAAAATCGAAAAAAGTGCTATTGGTGTAAGCAGTACATTATACTTATACTTATTTATAGGCACACTATTACATGTCGTTAATCAACTAAAAATCATTTCGGAAAGATTGTAACGCACGAATAGAATTATTTTCTTTTCGGTTTGTTTTTGTTTTTCATGTGCTCTGATTATCGAATTTCCATCGCAAGATACAATTAGAATCGGCAAAGATTACATAAAATTATTACCAGTATAAACACATCGTTACTAATATTTGTAACTTTTATGGAAAACTATAAATATAAATAAATCGCAACAAGTAGTTTAAATTGTGACACTAAAACAATGCATAATGGCTAAATGGACTGTAAATGTTCGTTCTACATATATTGAGAATAAAGAAATAACCAACAGAGAAGGAAAAAAATAAACGGTAAAAGAACAATAAATGCTATATAAAATACACGATACTTAATCGTTTACCTATTGCAATTTAAAATTACGTGTCGTTTAAATACGTTAACATTTACTGTAACATAATATGTT